TAAGGGTTTTGATCCCCGCTCAGGAGGCTTTCGGGCTCGTCCGCGCCGCGGCGCGACCAGCCAACGTTCGTAGGTGCACAGCAATTGCTGGCTGTCGCTGCCTACAGTGCAGCGTAGGGCATTGCAGGAGCACGACGTCAGAACCGAGCATGGATTCGCAAATGAATCCAGATTTGGTGGAAAACATGTTTCCTCGCCATGTGTCACCTCGATTGCCCATATTGTTTGTGAAAATTGGGAAGGACTCAGAACCATTCAGGATCATTCAGGTCTAATATGCTTTGTTCAAGTTTGTTCACTGCCATTTCACGAAAGAAACACGGTAGGAGCACGGTTCCCAATTTCACGTCCAAATTGTGTGACACATCCAACACTTCATGCATAACACGTGCTTGAAGTGACATGACGCGTTACACTTGGTCGGGTTATCTTACATCGTTCCGGTTTTTTATGCATTGCGTGAGCGTTGACTGGGGGAGGCCTTGTGGAGGCCTTGTCTTGAGTGTAGCCATTCCTTGACAACATAATCAAAAATATTGCTTATGACCATGCAATTTGGCGGTGTCAGTGTGACATCCTGGTGTTTCCTTCCGTTGCACCCCTTGAGCGTCTACTTGGGGAAGCCATGCTCTGGGCTTGGCCATTCTTTAACAACATAATCAGAAGAAACATCACTCGTGACAGCGCCTCCATGCAGTTTGGCCGTTTCAGTGTGACATCCTGGTGTCTACTAGCGTTGCATCGTATAAGCGTCACTCGGGGAAACCATGTCTTGGGCTTTGCAATTGGTTGGCATCATAATCCTGAAAATGTTGTTCATGACAGCGTTTACATGCAGTTTGGCGGTTCCCTCGTGACATCCGGGTGTCGACCAACGTTGCATCGATTGAGCGTTTAGTTGGGGAAGCCAGTCGTGGGCTTGGCCATTGTTAACAACATACTCATACAACCCTGTGGACCACAGCGTCTACATGCAGTTTCGCGGTTTCACCGTGAGATCTTGGTGAGTACTAGCGTTGCATCGGTTGATCGCCTACTCCATTTGCGAATATTTGCGGAAACAGCACGCCCCAATTGCCCTTCCAAGTGCAAACCCCCCCAAAAAACACGAGACATCATAAGTCAATAACATATCGCCAAACATCCAACTCCTTCCATTCGCTGGCAACTGGGGTGTTGGTGGTATTGTTCGGGCATGGCCTTGAGCTTCTACTGACACCATCTTCTCGTGCATAGGATTCCCCGGGGCGCCCGTAGCGATATCCTATGGCAGAGTCAGGATTTTGATGGGCTGCCCTTGGAGGCGAATAAGACCTTCCTCGGGCTCATGTAGCGAAATCCCGCAACAAAACCAGGGCCTTTGCGACGAAATTTCATAGAAACATCCGTATTTTTGCGAGCTCTTGTTGTAACGTCCTCGGACTCCGGTAGCAAAATCTCATAGAAAAATCCATATTTTGATGGGCCTGCTGAAAGATCCCCTTTGCACTATAACATGTATTTCGAGCTCCTGTTCCAAAATCCGCGGGTACATACAATATTGCTCGCATTGTTGATTAACAAATCCCATGATAGTCGACAAGTTTGTGCATTCAATCCGGCTGTTCCTGACACAACGTCTCCTTGGGGATTTGCTGGTGTAGAGTGGCCAACATGCATGCGAAACGCACTGCAAACGTACGCGTCTGCCACATAAACGTGTTTATGACACCTTCTATCCCGCTCTTCAAACACAGCTCTCCTTGGGGGCTTTCATTCTGTGATGTATAATTTCCCAAAGATGTATAGTTTCCGTGATGCAGCATTTGCATGGGGAGACGCATATTCGCGCAGACTGATGTGTGATAACCCCGGCACTAGTAGCAAACACATGTTCCTCGCACACATTTGGGCAGGCGACGGGCTGGAGGCATGGTTGCCGCGGCGCTGTTGAAATGACGTAGTATAAGTTGCACGTGCATTGCGTGTTGCATGCGTATTGCAAGTGAGTGCGGCATGTGTTTCGCAGGTGAGGATGGATTGAATGCTGCCGCCGCCGGCCACAAGGCAGTGCGGCCACGTTTTTGCGCATACGACATGGCAAGTACGGCTCATTGGATGTTGTCGGAGCCCATTAGCAACGTTTCGCTAATTGTTGGCTGACGCCGTTTTCCTGTCAGGGCATCAAGTTGGTGCTGGCAGAAGGCCTTGGTTTGAGGCTCAGAGGGACGCGTGCCGTATCCGTGACGAAGGGTTAAACATGCTACAGCAGTATCAGGGCAGAGCGGCAGGGCCTGTCAGATCCGTGCTGCCAATTGCTATGCCGGGGAATATGTCATGGTTGTGTTGTTTATTTATGCATCAGTTGTCCCAGATGTTTGTGGTTACCTTCTAAGATTTGAACTGGGAGCACGTGTTTGAGGCCCATACGTGGCCAAGAATTTTAACGAGCGCCGCGACATGGAAGGGCAGGCCGGGGCGTGGTTGAGTTTTTCATGATCAATGATCCGCGGGTGCATGTACGCAAGCATGATGCTTCGGATTAAACAGGCGGACGGTTTTCATGTTGTTGAGCCATGTTGAGCCTTTGCAGGTGGAAACGCGGTTGATGGACATTCTCAAGGATGTGGAGCATAAGGCACGGAGATTTCCTAGTGCAATTTGGTCGCATGCAACATGATTTCGTGGAAATTGCCGAGGGCGTGTCAACCATGCAGGAGCCGCGCTGCTTGCAACATGTTTGATGAAGTTTACATTGCTTGTCAGATCATGGACCGAACGACGGGACAGCAAACTCCCTTTGATACATTATCGTACATACATGGATGCCTCCAAATTTTGCCACGGTGGTGATGCCAACGGTTTGTCACCGCTGCCGAAGGGATACTCGGTTGATGACGGTGGTTGCAAGCTTTTCTTAGTGGCTGTAGTTGTGGTGGTTGTTCGTCGTTGTCCGCACGGTCGTCGTTGTCGTTTCCGCTTCTGTTCCTCCAACGTTGTCTGTCCTTTTTTTTGCCATCGCGGAATCATGTTGTCATTGTAGTGATTTTCTGCATCTAGCCTCGAGGTGGCACACGGCATGTCATGTTGCGAGGACCGAATACACATCAACAACGCGATGCTTAACCTCGACTTCTTGCGGCGGTTGGAT